CAGGTTTCTTTGAGGATACTAAAGGAACAGAAGAACTAAAGATTCCAGTCAGGCACATGTTTCTGCCAGTCAGTGTTTGCCAGGGATGCTGGGGATATCTAGCTTTTTCTGTGTCTTTGGTCATCCACTGGCAGAGACTTCCCTCATTACTGTATCTACAAACACAACATTGCCATTGTATAGCAACATTACTGCCAGACATAAAGTGATGCAACAAGCAGCTGAACACATCTCATTAAATTAATTTTAATCCTGCTTCCTTTATAATATCCCAGCATCTTATCAGATCTTGTTTTATATAGCCAAGCATGCCATTTGTAGAAAATGTGTCAAATTTGGAGCAGATAGGCTGGTCTTAGTCCTAAGAAGTAATACACTGAGTGAAAAATGTTGAGAACCATTGATTTAGACAAATAGACTCTAAAGTGACATTTGTATTTTGCTATCATTACTATAAATACTTTGTCTTTTTTAGGGAAAGCTTTTCCTGGATGTTATTCTAAGAGGCTCAGTCACAGTGCTTTTGACCTTTTACTCTACACTACTCCATTAACATCCTGTGGAGAAATTCGCCTTATATATGTAATTGATGCATTTTATGAGACACAAATCAAAATAGATAGTCAAAAATAGATAGTATGGAACTCAGGAAGAGCTGCCTGCCTGAGTACTTCGTTGGCATATTGCCTATAGTTGATAGTGTCAACTCAACATATGGCCCTTCAAATGTACTGATGAATCCTCTTATGGGAATAAAGTAAGACTTGTCTGTGATGTGTTTAAAGTTTCAAAGCAGTCCAACAAATAAAGCAGGTTGTAGCTTTAGTGAGGAGGAGACCTTACAGGCTTGTGTGCAAACAGTACAGCTTTCTACCACAACTATTTTCTAATAATTTCTGCAGGCCAGTGTGAACAGCTTTGCACAAGACCAGAGTGATTGTTAAAATACTTACTGCTTGAATACAGCCAAAATATGTTACAAGCTGATTTAGCTGGATGAGTACTAAACTTGAAAAAAGACAGTTGTTAAGCTTGTTCCGAAGCTGTAGATGTATCCTCAAATTAGGGAGAACTTGAAACAGTGCAGAAAAGAAAGGATGGCAGAATTATGCAATTAAAATTCTCATCTAACCTCCTGAACAAGATCCAACAGCCACAGAGTGTCTGAAATTATATATTCAGTGTTCATATGTGGCAGTGATAGAGTAAAAGAATTTGTACTAGTTTGGCTTTTCACATAGATACGTAAAACAAACACAGTCTCCATGCCAAGAAGTGAAAGGGTATATGGCAGAGAACTAGGAAGACAGAGGCAGCTCATCTGAATAAAGTAAAGGGATGGTCACCTGACCCAAAGGGTATAGAAATGTCTGAAAGAATGACCCAGTCTCCCTTTTTAATGTTGCTATTCTTAAAATGAAGCAAACACTGCTGTAAAAGGGTTTTCTCTCTATTATTTTTGCTACTGCTTCTAGTGGTCCTCTCAGGCAATGAATACAACTTGAAGAAGGGCAGCCTGGTGCACAAATGTTCTCATTATCTTAAAGGGGTCAATGGTCAAAGGTGAAAAAAATTCATAGAGTAGTTATGATTAAAGGTAGGTTTTTAAATGCTTTTGATAAAGGCTTGTAAAACAGCCAAAAGAGATCCTGCAATTTTAATGTTAAGTGGCTTTTGTATTGGAAAAATGCCCAAGGGCCATGTCTAGCACGGTCACTTACAAATGACTGATGGGAGATCAATACAGACAGAGTGGGGATGCAGCTTTGTCACTGGGATATGTAGTTAGTATGTGATTAGCTTTAAGTAGCATTGACTTGGATGTAGATGGGCAGTAAGAGCTTAGTATCCAGTCAGCACGATAGCTGCTTGTATACAAAAGTTAATGAAAGAGGAAAACCACATTATCATTAGGCACCCAAAGGGGCTTCCCACACCCATTCAGGGATTTTAGGAGATCAGCCTGACAATGAACTGTGTAGAACTGTCAGTCCCAACAGCATTAACTTTGAATTTGGTTTTCCTTTATGAGGAGCAATCCCCTAGGACTTGGTAAACCACCTAGTTAAGTTCTATGTGCAACCTTATTATAGGGGAACAAGGAGGCCACTTTGCCTTTCTCAGAGTCAGAAAACCCTGTAAAATAAGCAAAAATAGAAACTAAAGAGTGGAGGGAGGAAATAAGGAGGTACTTTGAGGAAGGGATCCTCTGGCACTGATAACATGTTGCACTAAATCTCTGCTCCTTAATGTGGGGGTCATTATACTTAATCAGATCCAGAATATTTCACTAGGTATTTCACATTTCTTCCCCCTTTATTCAGATACATTATTGGTAAACAGGGATTTTAAAATGCATTTTATTGCATTCTTGATAAAGCATTTTTACCCAGTCATGTGGTAAGAGTTCCTATGACTAGAAGTTTTCAAGATGTAATTGGACAGGGTGCTAGTTGATCTCCTTGAGGTTCCCTTTCCCAAAAAGGTTGGACCAGACAATCTTTTGAGGTCCCTTCCAACCTGGGCTGTTCTATGATTCTGTCATTTTGCTAAGCAAAGAGATAGCACCTTCTTATTTCACAAACAACACACACGCAAAATGCAGACTTAGTGGGGGATGCATATTTTTAACTTACACATCTAAGATGTGACCTGATTTGCCTTTCTGGAGGGGGTTGTGTCTCCTTTTTTTTATAGGTAGCTCTGTATTGTATCTCTGTTAAACAGCAAAATAGCCTAAATTAGATCTTATTAATCCCCCTTGATATCAAATTATAAACTCACTCATTTGTTGCTCAAAAGAACAGACAATCATACTACTGAAGAGAGCATACCTATGAAACGGAGAACAAGAGTTAGTAATTTCAAGTGTTCTGATTAATATTTACTCCTTTTTTGCTACACAAAAAAGAATAAATCGCTCTCTGAAAAAGCATCTCCTATGCCATCTCCTGTGACCTCCTACCCTGCTACTCATAGTATTAAAAGGCTTGCCTCAATTTTAGTCACATGGTGTAAACTGAAATTATTTCATGGCTAACCTGATATTTCCAGGGCCATGGTGAAGCCAGAAATTTGTGGCCTAGGGCCATCACATGCCTTTCTAATGGACCCTCAGTACACAGTTAATTACAGGGAGAATTTGGGTATCCATCTGTCAAAAGCCACTGCAGCACAGCACCAGTCAGAAAGGCTCCTCGCTCAGCATCTTTGCTGCATTCAAACCTGGACACCCTTTCAGGATTCCTACTAGAAGTGGAGATGACCCAGAAGAGCCCAGAAGGCTTAATGTTGGGCAGTGCACATGTAAAATCTGGGGGCTTTATAACAACATGCATCTAAAATCATTACACCCCTTATTAGCAAACGATAGTGCACACATCATCAGCTAATTAAAACTGGGCCAAACTACTAATGGAGCCATAACCTGGGTCATTGATTCCCAAAGCATTTGTTCTTTTACTAAGCTAAAGGAGAAGCTCTGTAGTTCAAACAAGGCAAAATCCCTGCTATACTTAGTCCATCTTTTTAACTGTCTGAGCTCACTGTTGACTAAAGCTCTTCTGAGGGTATTGAACTGAGTTAGTAGCTCAGCCTTTATGACTGCGGTTATTTCTTGCCTTTTTGATTGCTCCTAAGTGAAATGTAAAAAACATTATTTATTAATATTTACAAGAAGGAGACAGAGTTTCTTCTCCAAAGAATCTACATAAGCATACTCAGAAGACAAAACAATCTATTCTTCAAATTACTTTGTACAATTTTTCAAAACTGAATAATTTGCCCAGACAAGATTTGGCTACTTATCAAAAGAAGCATGGTTGTCCAGTCATTTTCCAATAAGAACAGTAACATACTGATGTCTTCTGGAGTGCTGTGTTAAATGTGCACTCAGCTAACACTCAAGAGTAAATATACAGCCACAGCTGAGGCCTTCAACTCGACATTTCCAGGTTCACAAGTCCCAGACCTGTCACACATTTCCTCTTCGATCCTGGACAAGATATTTAATCTCCCAGTTCTCCATCTATATAACAGCTAATATATTAGTTGCCTTTAGTGCTATAGACTGCAGAACAAAAACAGTGTCCAATTACAGATATATTCAGTGCTGGATATGATGGAGATGTGTTGATAGTTGAGGCCTCCGAAAGCTGCTCTAACAAAAAGCAATCAGAAATTACAAATGGTGGTTTTGGCATGTAGCTTTCTGACTGTGTTTCTGTAGTCCTCTTAGTCAAACCCTCCTTACATGTGAAATCTGTCAGACCCCACAAGGCTATGAGGGCAGGTGAGGCTTGACCAAAGGTTTGTTTCCCTCTCCAGAGGTCTCTGGATGTATTTAAGAACCATGCTGATGTGACATTCCAGAAATTCATAGCTTTTGGAATAGTCCTGAAACTTTATAGCTTCGACACAGTGAAGGAGAATTTTTAATTTGGCCCTCAACTTCCATGGAAAGTATTCAATTTGTTTGCATGGTCATATATTTACCATACCAAGACTTTGTGTCTTAGAAATACAACGCTTGCCAATGAGTTGTTTCTCATGACCTGAGAAGCTAAGTGATGTCTAATATTGATCAGTGGTTCATACATTAATGGAAATAGCTAAATTGAAAAAGATCCTCTTTATACACACTGTGGCAAATCGTATCTGTTTGACTGGAGAGGGCAACCTTTTATTGAATTGCATAGTTGTTTGCTTTTAGTTGAGTTTATTCCTTTCTACAAAGGACTTTCCCCCTTTCTGAGTTCTTCTTCAAAAGAAGTGGTTTTTCTCTCTCTGCTGACCATATTTAATACATGCCTATCTTAATAGTGACTCTCAATTTACCTTCAATCATCCCCATGATGTAGGAAAAGCCAATTTGAGTTTCCTATGTCAATGAAGTATAGTGCAATATGGGACTAATTTATTCCTACCAACAACAGGCAAGACTACAATATCCTTTCATAGGCCTTTTGTCAGGGCTGAGGCTGCAGCAGGTTTATCTATACCTCTTTTCACCAGATGATACCCACTTCTGAAGTAGTGTTGCCTTCCTCAGGCCTGGGAGATGTTGCTTCATGTTGTGCCATAACCATCCCTTCTCTGGAAGAATTGTACAAAAGAAAAAATGAGTCTCAGCAGGTTCCTTCCCAAGTCCAGATCTATTGGCGTCTGACTATTTTACATCAGCATGCCTACATCGCCTATGTCCTTGCTTAACTCCAGTATACTGTCATGGTTGAACCCCAGTCAGCAGCTAAGCCCCACACAGCCACTTGCTCACTCCACCTCAGTGGGATGGGGAGAGAATCATAAGGATAAAAGTGAGAAAACTCATGTGTTGAGATAAAGACAGTTCAATAGGTAAAGCAAAATACACACACACAAGCAAAGCAAAACAAGGAATTCATTCACCACTTCCTATCGGCAAGCAGGTGTTCGGCCATCTCCAGAAAAGCAGGGTTCCATCACATGTAACATTTACTTGGGAAGACAAATGCCATCACCTCAAACGTCCCCCCTTCCTTCTTCTTACCTCAGCTTTATATGCTGAACATGATGTCATAGGGTATGGAATATCCCTGTGGTCAGTTAGCGTCAGGTCAGCTTTCCCAGCTCTGCCCCTTCCCAACTTCTTGTGCACCCCAGACTACTTGGTGGGGCGATGTAAGAAGCAGAAAAGTCCTTGACTCTGTGTAAGCATTACTCAGCAGTAACTAATCCCCCTCTGTATTATCAACACTGTTTTCAGCAGAAATCCAAAATATAGCCCCATACTAGGTACTATAAAGAAAATTTACTCTATCACAGCCAAAACCAACATATATACTAGCCAATGTCAGTAAAGTGGTTGACAGGAAGACAAAAAGTAAATCATATGAGACAGGTCTAAGGATAGCCCTTTGTTTAGGCTTGGTGAGAAGGAGCCAGGTGAACCTGACATTACAGAATAGCCACAGGAGACTTTTCAGTTTAACAGCTTCGCTTACGAAGGGACACAACAAATGGAGTTTGTGCAAATTAAGCTTAAGGTGAGCTGATTGAGTAGTTTTATTTCTCAGGAAATGACTGCGCTCTGCTTGGCATCAGTCATTGCCTTCCGATCCCATCTTTGAAAGATCCCAACATTTTATATTTATTTACCAACAAAAATTACATTGGCAGACAGTCACTTCAAGCAATCTGCCTGGTCTGGTACAGCCAAGCATACAAGGTTTTAACAAAAAAAAAAAAAAGATCTGTTCTTCTTATTCAGAGAGTGACAGATATAGCCTAGCCCAGGCTCTTGGTCAGCCAGCTGGCACTGAATTACATCACACTTTTAAAAAAACCCTTCTTATTTCATTAATACTTTCAATGGGACTAACTATTACAGAAAACAATTATTGGCAGTGCGGTATATTTACTTCAGCTAGACTGAATCTCTTTCTGTCTCTAACACATTTTTTGACACAGCACTGAAATGTGATGAACTGAAATGAAGATATGTATCTCTGCTGCGGTCAAGCTGTGTTCTCCTCATTTTGTTTTGATTCTAAATAAAAGAAGCAGCAGAGAAAAGTCCTATTGTGGATTTGGGGAAGAATAAAGCAGCATAAGCAAGTAGAAAGTTGTTCTTTGTTCTAATAGGGCCTCTCATTTCCATAAATTTTTCATTTGGTATATTTGGTAAACTCACAGTAACACTCATATTCTCTGTCCAATACAGAATTACTGCCTAGTCATCCCGCAGAATAGATAAATAAGAAAGAATCTTCATGGTTCATAATGGAGGGATATTTAAGAAAACAGGCAATTGTTGATTTTCAAGGACATCTTATTTGTATAAAAGGAAAAGTATCTAGGGGCAGCATGGTGCAAGGGGTTCAACTTAGGGCAAGGACATCTTAAGCAAGTTATTTAAAATGTTAGTTTTCAGTTTCCCTGTGATTAAAATGTGTCAATGATACGTAACAAATGAATGCTGTGAGGTTTAGTCAAGGAGACAGTTCCTTGACTTTGCAGTTACTGAGTGGCCCTGTGGACATCAGCAGAACTTTTCCCTTTAAAAGAAAGATTTGGCTCAACACACACACAGTGGCTTAAATCCATGGAGCACTAAACTTCATGCAGATCAAAATGACAGCCACTCCTTAGCATGAGATGTGAGGTTTGTTGTACGTTGTCAAGCAAGGCTCATCTCACAGTCACATCTCATTACTTCCATAGCCTCTTTCTCAAAGCACTTCATCCTCTCCAGCTAGTAGGTACTGACTCAGTTCAAAAGGTTAAACTGTTGTTTCCAAAGAATCCAGAACAAGTCTTGACAAGGAAGAGAGCTGCAACTCCATGATAAATCATGCACATCACTTGGTTGTGGGACTTGGGAAGTACAAAATTAGATTGTGTTCACGTTGGCCTGTGCTGACTCATAGAAATGCAATATAGGAACCATTGTTTTAATCAAGTCACACATGTTAGGTCTTTTTGTAAAATAAAAACTAGGGTGGGTTGTACAGACTAGGAATAAATACTAAGGAAAAGAGAGTGGTCTGTGAAAATCAATCTCTCCTTTATATACTCGCAAATTATACTCATAAAGAAGAGGCCTCCAGCAGCTCTGTCAGTCACGATAAAGCTATCACTCTGAGATTTATTACCAGTTGTCTCCTTGTGTTTTCAATGGAAAACATCCTACAGGTGTGTTTGCATTGCTACCAGAAATATATGAAGATTAATTATATGTCTGAGTGCTGAAATTCATTGACACATTTTCAAAGATTTAACTTGCATTCAAAGTCATGCCCTAAAAAAAAGGGAGACTAGCTGGAAAAGTCAGAATGGGAATTAAATACTTCCAAGGATCAAAGAGTAATCACCATTTAACTCTTAGATGCAGGAATTTGGCCTGAGCTTTCTCCCTGGTGCATTAAGGAAGCTCTGTGCTTTGCATTTGATCTCTTGACAAAATCCAGTTTATACTTTTTTCACTTTGGCTTCCCCCAGAAAAGATGTGTGTGTATTGAAAGCTTAATTTCCTAAAATCTTTGGGGTTCTTACCTGGGACAGCATCAGTCCCATGCTATTCAGTCTACACAGAGAGACTGTCCCATGCTATTCAATCTACAGAGAAAGCCAGAATCGGGCTTTCAGACAAGATAACTCAATTGCAGCTGTCAGTCTACAGTTCTGATTAGATTATTTTCCTCTGCAAGGAAAAAGTGAATGCTGCTTAATTTCCTGGGATGGGAAATATTTTCTGTACCCTGGTCTCTCTCACTGACCCCTCAAGAGCAGGTAGAAACTGGAACTCGCTGTATTGGGGAAAAACTAGTAGAGACAAGATACCACTTCTAAAGGGCAATAAAAGAAAACACACTCAAGCTGTTCCTGGGAACACAGAGACTGTCCCTCTCATGAGCTGTGAAGTAAACTTGCTTGGAAAGGGGAAATGTTTAAGGTCCACTTTGCCATGGGGATAGACACATAAAATAGTAATCAGCTTTGCTGTAAAAAAGCTGCTATGTGTTTTAAATTCACCATCTTGACAAACATCATCTAAATAAGTTGCAGCAGTCTAAATGTATTGGTCCTGTCATGAGAACTGAAGGTAGACCAAGAAAGGATTTTGATTTACTGCTTTTCAAGGTCTTAGATGAACAAATACAGAGTGGTGCTTTTTATTTATATTCTTGCAATTGATGCTAAAGTAGCACTTAGGCAATGAAGTATATAGGTTGCAATTGAAAAAGGAAAAACATAATCCCTAAACATTGTATATCTTTGTCCAAGTAAAGAAATGAAAAATCTAACCAATACAGTCCAAAGTGTATGGATCTTATTCAGCAGAATATCAAACTTTCTGAGAGCTGAATCAGTGGTATGGTGGGGGTGGTGTTGCCCTGGTGAGAAACAAAATGGAGTCCACTGGAAAACCAGACATGTGCACTTGTCTCAACACCTCCCTTTCCTGGCTTCCTTAATCCTTCTGCCAGAGTCTGAATCTTCTTACCCACTGAGTCCTCTCAGAATAGCACAATTAAACACTTTCCCTTCCTCAAATTAATTAGCAAATTTGTGGGGAAAAAACAGTCAAAGAGTAAGTCAAAGAGAAAACAATGAAGGTCTATGAGACAACCAGTTCATTATGAAGGATATTTTAACACGGGTAAAAAGAAAGAAAATATGAGAGAAATGAGAAATCTTAACAAAATCTTTCTAGCTAAACTGAGAGCTAGCAACTTTTCAGTTCCAATATTAATCATTTTTTTTTTCTTTCATTATCTTCAAAACAGCAAGATTTCAAGATTTATTTAAAAAAATGATTGACCCTTACACAAAATGACACAGTAGGTTTTCCCAAGAGTATCAGCAGAAGACATTTTAAAATAGGACACAGGACAGAAAAGTTATGAGTGAGCTTAAGGCATTTTCTGGATCATACTACATTCAGGACTTCTATCTATCTTAAAATCTTTTATTTCTGTGCAGCCACAGCTTGCTGCATTTTCAGTTTTCTTGCTGCTACCTCCAGCTGGAACTTGCTGCTATTACCACTACCTACTCTCTTGCCCAGGAAACCACAGAAGAGTGACATTCACATAATCATTTAGGTTGGAAAAGACCTTGAAGATCATCCAGTCCAACCATCAACCCAACATTAACAGTTCCCAACTACACCATAATTCTCTAAAGCACAAAGGTGTTTAAATTTTCAGCTCAGCCTTTACTAATCTAGGAGTTATCTGGAGGCAATTGTAATGGCAGTCTTTATATGGCAGGCTGATGGCTCACCTTTAATGAAGAAAGTTTAAAATCTTTAGAAAAAATGAGTAAATCCACTACATAAGAAGAAAAGCATTTTCTGGCAGAAGCCAGCCCATCAGACTTCAGATAATGACTACAAAACCACATCTGTTAGGACAGAAATTGAACATGAAAATTGTTGATCAAGGCTTATTGTCATAAAACTGCTGTCAGTATTGACAAAACTCAAAACCAAAACAGACACACAACAGCTTTGCAAGACAAGATGACAGTCATCTGGCAGCTAATCCACGAAGTCAGCAGGTAAATCCAACAGGCTAAATCTCATCATCCATTTGTGGGTTAAAATGACACAG